AAGTCACTGATTTTATCACTGAATCATTAATTCAATTGATTCGTTTGAACAGCTGATTCATTCAGGAATGAAATCTTTATGTATGTGTAATCATGAATCACTGACTCACTAGATTCGTTCAAAAACACACTTTCATTCATGAATGAAACTCAGCTGTGTTTGCTTTTAGAGATGCGCAGCGGCTCAGCTGTTACTATATTTGGAACTATTTTCGTTGATGCAATATATACAATAAGACAATAAGAATGTTTGCAGGAGCGTGACACACACGTTGCGGGAGCGGGTGGTAATGGTCAGAAATTCAGCGGGAGCAGGCTTAAGAAAACTCCCGCTCAGGGCTCTAGGCTGCGCCTCAACACACACGTTTTTTTCCCGCGCTCCCCATGTATTTCAAATATAATTCAAGCACTTTCAAGGACCTATGTTTGTTTTCAAGTACTTTCCAGGCCTTGAATCCATATGCCTGAAATTCAAGTACTTTCAAGAAGCGTGGGAACCCTGTAAAATAACTCAAACTCAAACTACACTTACATACAGTATATTAAAAACAAGAACAACAAAAACCCCCCAGCTAAATTACTAAAACATGAACTAAAATGAAAATAAAAACAGCTGTAGCAGTATCTGATGCCCGCTGGTCCAGTCGTGTGAGTGTTCTGTGTTCAGGATGTTCAGTGTGATGTCATATCCTGCATCGCTCATGTGTGTGTGATCATTAACACCAGCACTGCTGCAGCTCTCACTGCCTGCAATGGAAATATTAATCATCATCATCATAACACTCAGATCTCACGCTTTACAAAGAGTCTTAAAGGAACAGTTCACCCAAAAACCAACACGGACTCGCCTGGACTGGCTTTCAGTCACTGTGTGTTTGATACAAGTCAAAACATGTGAAAGAATCTGTCAAAAACACATATGTCACATGCAGCGCCGCTTCTCCTGTTTGAAGGATCTTTAGATATTTCACCTGGAAAATAAGCACATAAAAAACAACAACAACTAATGGCTAAAGCTCACTAAGCAGTCATTTTTGCATCGTGTAGTTGTGTGTGTGTGTGTGTGTGTGAGAGTGAGTGTGTGTGTGAGAGTGAGTGTGTGTGTGTGTGTGTGTGTGTGTGTGTGTGTGTACCTGTTATTTATCACGTTATGGGGACCAAATGTCCCCACAAGGATAGTAATACTAGTAAATTTTGACCTTGTGGGGACATTTTTGAGGTCCCCATGAGGAAACGTGTGCATGCGGTCGTAGCGCCTGCATGAGTTTGTGCCTCACCATCACTAACCAGCCACGTCACTGCAGCTGTTGCCATGACAACCAATCAGCCAATCAGCAGCCTTTCCCAACAGCGTCGGGAGTCTGAGTAGATGAAGTAACCGAAGGCCTCTACGATCAGTTTACGATGCTCTTGGGAAACGCAGCCATGATCAGTTTTTCCTGATGCAGTGGATTGTACTCCTCCCTTCATCACTGGACGAGCGGCACCTGTTAGATCAGAGAGAGAGGAACTCAACATCCGGTCTAATGAACATCACGCAGATGTGTATAAATACAAACACATACAGATCTCTTCTGCTCACGCTGATTTGCTGCTCGAGAAACATTTCTGATTATTATCAATGTTGAAAACAGTTGTGCCAAAGTTCTGACTTTATATAAGATCTAATCTCAGAATTGCAAAACAAACTCAGAATTTCAAAATATAAACTCCTAATTGCGAACAAACGTAGAATTGTGAAAAACACAGAATTGTGCGATATAAACTTGTAACTGCAAAAACTCATAGTTGCTAAATATTAACTCGTAATTGCAAACAAACTCATAATTGCGAAATAAAAACTCAGAATTGCGAACAAACTGAAAATTGCAAAATAATTTAGAATTGTGAGATATAAACTCATAACTGCAAACAAACTTGGAATTGTGAAAAAACAGAATTGTGCGATATAAACTCGTAATTGCGAAACATTAACTCATAATTGCAAACAAACTGAAAATTGCTGCAGCGCAGCGGCTCTATGGGGCGTCTCAGAGATGTACTGCGCAGGAGCAGTGAGATGCTGGTGAAGAAACTCCAGGGAAACGCTCCTCCAGACACACACACGTATGAACACACACACTGTTCTCAGCATCTAGTACCGCTGTCATTACAGTAGTGTTTTTTATCTTTATATTATGTTCAATTTTAAACTGAATTTCAGGTCATTTTTTGTAATTTATTTACTCATTGAATAATAATTGAAGACGTTCAGTGTCAAGCATACTGTCTTCTGCTGTTTGGGTTTCAGATATTTCATTTGTGTTTTTCTCTTCAGAATGAAACGTGCCGCTTCACTCAACTTCCTGAACAAGACGGGTGACGAGTCCTTCCAGGTAACTAACATCACTAATACTGACACTTCTTTAGATCGACAGCTATTACTGGACTGAAGAATTCATTATCATCATCATTAATGCAATCAACTATTCACTGAACATTGATGTCTTGGATCATATTGA